TGGTGGGACAGTTTAACTGGGAGTAACTGGGGGTGCGGGGCTGCTTACAGGCAGCTGCAGACAGGACGAGAGGCGTCCCCGAGGGTGTTCATCATCCCCCTGGCTGGGGCGTAGGTAAAAGCGATAATGACACCCCGCCGGACTGCTCTGAAAAGGCAAAAAAAAAATAGAAAAAAAATCAGGAGATTGCTAGTCCTGTGACCCTTCTGTAGGGAAACACTATAAAACTATCTGGACCATCCCGTTCAGGTGACACATGAGAAAAAGGAGAATTTCCCACTGCCAGTGGTGGTTTATGGTGTTTATCGGGGTTTTTTTGTTGTTGTTTCTTTCGCACAACCTTCTCTCGCAGCTGGGTGTTTTTGTGGGAGAAGGGCTACCAGGAAACAGACTCTGTGGTCAGCTCTGTAACCACAAAGGTGAAAGGAGTAACGCTGACGAACACATCCACCTTGGGACCCAGGATCTGGGATGTAGCGGACTATGTCATCCCTCCTCAGGTATCAATCCCTTTCACACGCAGAGGGAGGGTTTTCTCACAAACACCTGATGCTCTGCCAAAGTCCGCTGAGCCCTGGAGCAGCTCCGGCTCCAGCGAGGCCTCGACATGGGAGAGTGAAGCCGCTTTTTGCTCCGTTGCAGGTCATGCTGGGCACCTGCACCACTAGCCCTGGGGAAGCTTGTTTCAAGAAAAGTGTCTCTCTGTGTGCGCTTCTATAGGAGGGAGAATTTTGCAGGCTTCAGGAAAATGTTGCAACAATAATCATGTGTCCTCTTACTGCTTTCTAAAGCAAACAACTCAAAAGTTAACTTGTTGACAGAAACCCTGGGAGTAGACTGCAAGTCACTTGATCCGGAACTGTAGTTACTGATTGACTGTGGGAATCTGGGCTGTGTGGGCAATATGTGGCAGCCTCTGGGGTTGGCAGGCACAGCCAAGCTGCTAGTTGTGGGTCACTCTGTCTGTGTGAGACTGGTGCAGAAAAAACCCAACAGATTTAGCCCAATTTGGGCAGAGTATTTGCATATCAGTGGAGCAGAAGCAAACCACGGATCCCAAATTGTACAGAATGAAAAGAATGGAAGTGGTGCTCCCTGGAGAAACAAACCAGGACTGGTCAAATCTCTAGTGGATATATTGCAGAAAGTGAGTGGGAGTTGTGCTCAGAGTTGCAGCTGGAGCTTTATTTCTGCTTCTCCCTTACGACTCCCCTGAGCAGCTGTGTGATCTCTGTTTTCACAATGTGAATGAGGAAACTTGGGCTAAGTGGGAGGACAGAAAGAGTTGCTAATCCCACAGTCCTTCCTCTGCCTAAAGACAGAAGCATCAGGCGAAACGTGGGAATCTGCTCTGGGAATAGCACTCTCCAGCAGCACTGTCCAAAGTGGGTCCCCTCTGTGGGGCCACCTAGGCTCTGTCAACAGAGACGTTTGGGGCAGTGCCTTGGATATTCTTTGCAGACTGTCACTCTTAAATTTCCTTCTTGTTTTGCATGATCAGGAGGAGAACAGTGTGTTTGTCATGACCAATGTGATACTCACACTGAACCAGCGCCAAGACCGCTGCCCAGAGGTAGGATCTGCTTTAATCCTGCCATGTGTGGGTGGGAGTGTGGGGGAGAGAGAGTTCATAGAGTTTAGTGTAATTATTGTGCCTCTCCAGTTTCCAGATGATCAAACAGAGTGCAACGTGAAGAACAACTGTGTTCCAGGATACGTCAGCACGCACAGCAATGGTAAGAAGCCTGCTACAAGGGTCTGTGTTGTGATACATCTGTGCTGTGCCTTCCCTCCTGTAAAGGAAGCAGCATTTCGCTTCGATCTCTTTGTTTTCATTCTCTCACACCTAAGAGAACTAAAAGGAAAGCTCAGATTTTTCTTCTGGAGGAGAGCAGATGGGCTTATTCTGTGTTGAATGGGTGCTGGATAGATGTGTGCTTTGGTGAGTTAGCGAACGGTGTGAGGGATTTCTCAAGACTTTGAGTCCATGAAGCAGTATTTCACATAGATGAGGATTTGACTAGGGGACCTGATGCTTCTTTCTCTGACGTGGCACTACAAATGGCAGTGGAGGATAATGGGGGTCTTGCTACTGGCACTTCACCTCTGAGAAGATTGCTTTCACCTTCTGGAGTGAGGAGATACCGCAGGACAAATACTGCCTCTGTGTAGCTGCATTCACCTGTCTTCCCAGGCATCCAGACTGGGGAGTGTATACCATACAACAACAGCATTAAGACCTGTGAAGTCTTGGCGTGGTGTCCTGTGGAGGATGACTATCATATACCCAAGTGAGTGCTCTGTCCTCCTACCCTGTGGTGGCCCTCCTAAGAGGAGGCTAGCTGTATGCAGCTGATGTTTCTCCCTGTAAGGTACCACTGGGAACAGCTGAAGAAGTGATCACCAAGGACCCTGCAGAGTCTTGTTTGTGAAAATATAAATCAAACTTAATTTTCCTATTGTTTTGTAGGCCAGCATTCCTGCAAGAAGCTGAGAACTTCACCATTCTTGTGAAGAACAACATTTGGTACCCCAAGTTCAACTTCAGCAAGTAAATAGCATGGGGGGCATTGCACTGTCTGGTCTCTTGGCCAGTAAAGGGGAGCTGGAGGAGTGGAAGAAGATGCAACAGATCTCTCTCTGTTCCCCTGTAGGCGAAACATCCTCCCCACTATCAACTCCACCTACCTCAAGAACTGCATCTATGACTCCCAGACAGATCCCTTCTGCCCTATCTTTCGTTTAGGGAAAATAGTTGAAGCTGCAGGGCAAAACTTCCAGGAAATGGCTGTGGAGGTATCTGGCAGACCCTTGTCTTGGGCCTCAGGTGTGCAGAAAAGGAGTGGTAGGCGGTTGTCCCCCTCTGCTTCGTGGCATGAGCCACAGGACGCAGAGTAGCTGCTCTGGCCAGAGGGACTGGAGTCAATTCTACTTAACAAATATTTGGCCTTGGCTTGTTTGGGTGGGGTTATGTGCAAGGTCCTTTTGTATGTATCTGGGGTAAGGAGTGTTTGGGACTGGGACAAGAGCCAGTAAATGGAGGTCACCGTCCGCAGGGACTGGGACTGCTCACCTTCTCCTCTCCTCCACTTGACAGGGTGGAGTCATGGCGCTGCAGATCAACTGGGACTGCAACCTTGACAGAGCTGCTTCCCACTGTGTGCCAAAGTACTCCTTCCGGCGCCTCGACAATAAGGACTCTGCCCACACCGTCTCACCTGGCTACAACTTCAGGTAATGTGGCTATGAAGGGCACCTGGTGACCCTGTCGCTCAGTCTGCTGCTGGCACAGTGTTACAGGCTGCCTGCACTCCTCGAGCAGTTGCGGGTAGTCCTTGGACTTTTGATGGTGCTGTAAAACTTTCAGAGTTTCTCAGGCTGTAAAATAGAGAGCAGGTCTGATCCTCACCGTGTGCAAGCCACAGCAGAGAGGGAAGGTCAGTGAAGCTCCACCGATTGCATCAGAGTGTCTGAGTCATATTTGCATCAGCATTTGGGTGCCCGTTTGGTCTGGCATCCCGTGGCATGGCGATGTGAGAATGGGCTGTTTTGGGGTGTGCTGGTAGGGCACCATTTGAGGGGGCTGGGGCGTGGGGATGGGAGACTGAAGTACTTCCCTCGCTCTGTGTGAGGGAAAAACTTAACCTCTAGAAAGTGGCTCTGTCAGCTGAAGACTATGTCTGCACCAGGAGTATCCTGGCATATACCACTACATACACACTCTGGCCAGTATGGGTGGGTCCAGCACCTCCAGTAAAACAGAACTGGGTCACTGGGTGCAGCCAGACTTAGAGCTAGAACAGTGCAGACTGGCCACCTTGCCAAGATCCTTGCAACAGACCTGCTCCTAAGGAAACACGGCTCAGGGCTGTGCTTGTTTCTAGAATCACAAACTCACTCTTGGTGGAACTTGGATGAATTCACTGAGAAGCTGCTCTCACGCAGACAGCACCAGCGTGTGTTTGGGAGGTGCCAGGCCTGTGGGTACTGGGGTGTCGGGTGAGACCTGCTGGAGGATATGGCAGCCCAGCTGGTGTGGGTTCTGAAGTGCTCTTGCTGGTTCCAGACCGTGGTGCAGGCCCTTACCAATCCTTCCTCTTCTCTTCCACCCTCTTCTCTGCTTCCTCCTGGCTTAGTCAACCATGTGGCGGAGTAAGTCTGACCTCACTTATTTGTTCTCATCCCTTTTCCCTGTCATTTGCCTGCGAGTCACATTGTGCGGGACAAGGAACAGCCTTTGTGTGCCAGGCTGAGCTGTGCTGCCTCCCTCGCTGCCTGCTCCCTGCCCTGCCCTCTCGTGGCTGCCTGCGCTCCTGCAGCCTCCTGCTTACCTCGTGTAGCTGCTCTTCCTTCTGCTCCCCTGCTAAAGCTAACTTTCTCCCCACCCTATGCTTTGCAAGTTTCCTGATTTGGCTGGTGCTAACCCGCTGTCTTAAATTGGCCTGTTCTGGGCTTTTCTCCTAGCTGTGCTTGCCTGCATGGAATCTCCTTCCATCGTTTGGGGTTTATCCCTGGAGGTTTCCGATGTTCAGCCCATCCTCTTGGGATGGGGGACACACCTGGATGTTGCATGATCACATAAACAACTTCAAAATTTCCAGCTAAGCTCTGACCTGTCTTTTTTCCAGGTTTGCAAAATACTACAAGGATACTAATGGCACTGAATCACGGACGCTGGTCAAAGCTTATGGCATACGCTTTGACATCATAGTGTTTGGAAAGGTAGGCTGATTTAATTCCTGGAGTTCTTGTGGTGAGGGCTTTCAGAGATGCTGAAAAGTATATTCACCCTTCTACCTGTCTTCTAGGCAGGGAAATTTGATGTAATTCCCACCATGATTAACATCGGCTCTGGCTTGGCGCTCTTTGGCGTGGTGAGTGACACTGCACTTGGACTCAGTTCTGGATTAGTGCCTTCGTTCTGAGGATTATTGTCTTAAAACTCTTTCAATCTTCACTAGGCAACAGTGTTGTGTGACATAGTTGTTCTGTATTGCATGAAGAAGAGATACTACTATCGGGAGAAGAAATACAAATATGTGGAGGATTATGAACTGGTAAGCATGAGTGAAAGCAAAGTTCCTTCCTCCTCTGACTCTGGAGAGAGTCTGAAAGAGGATGAAGAAAGTCCACATCAAATGGGGATTTTGAACCACAGCTTTGAGGAAACTTGATCTTCGTCAGAGAAGCTAATTTTTACCTCAAAGCTGTTGCAGGGAGAAGCACCAGAAACAAATATTGTCATGTTTCCTGGGCAACCAGTCTTGGAGAAGGAAATGTATGTTCAAGAACTTGTCATGCTCCCACTGCTCCTCTTTTTTGGGTTGCAGTCCTTGGCAGTTGCCTCCTGAAAGCCGCAGGCAACAGCTCTGTCCCCATCAAATCCTTCCTTCTTGGCTTTTGGGGGTTCCTGCTGCTGTGAGAAAACCCATCCAGTGGGTTGGTATTTTCCCTGACAGCTGCAACTGCAGCTCCCTCCAGGGTCCCTGTGCTCTGCTTGGCCAGCAGAAGGGTTTAGCAGGGCAGTGGCGTTGCTTGACTGGTGCTGAGGGCAGAGCTTGGCCCTGCAGCTCTGTGCTTGGTGAGAAGTGGTGCTGCAGAGGGTGGATTACTGAATCAAAAGACCTTGTGGCACTGGAAAAGTAAACCCTGAGTAGTGGAGAGTAGCTTGCCTGTGTAGAGGGGTTTATGTGAGAGGAAGGGGGAGTAAGAAGTTTGCTGGCAGAGCTCTAATCTCTGATCCTTGCAGGGAGTCAACGAGACGTATGGAACAGACTCCTGACCTCCTGCTGCTCCAGCACCAACCGCTGCTGTCAACTGCTGCTGTGAACGTTACTCTGACCCTGCCATGAGATCCACCCCCTTGTTGCTGGAAGGAAGGAAGGGGGGGAACAAACGTGAGAAAAGGGACCTTCTTCATTACATTTCACTACTTTTGCTGGCTGGAGCCAACCCTCCAGGGAGAAGAACTGGGTCTGCTCCTTGTCTGCTGTCTTTTCAGGTTAATTGCACTAAGCACAGAGGGAGAATTGTGCATTTATGCCAGGCCTCTGCGCCAGCTAAGCCTGAGACAGAGACTACTCCCACATTGTCGTTTTGACAGTCCTTTCCCTGAGCTCACCTGTGGCAGAGCACAGGGTTACAGGCACAGATTCCTCCTTACAGTGAACACGGCCGCTGCCAGGGGTTGCCTGACCTTGGGAGGGCAGCTCCTTGCCGTTGGCTTTTTCCTTGCCCTGAAGGATTGTGATGCTTAGCTGAGCCTGTGCCTACTCTTGAATCGTGTCTCCAAGCTCCAGTGGCCACAGGCTGAGACAAAGCAGTGTCTGGTTCCATTGTGTTATGGTAAATGACTTACTGTACAGAATTTTTTTTTTTCCCATTTTGTCTAATTTTGATGGTACTACTTTAAAATTTACTTTCTTTGTAATAAAATATTGCCCTCTTCAGAGTCCTGCAAGCTGGGGTTTGCTTGTTTATTTTTCCCCAGGACCTGTGAAGGTTAGGCTCCATGAACTGTCTTTGTTTTATACAGGAGAGCTGTCGCAGCCCGTGCTGCTGTCTGCTTTGCCTCTTGAATCCCTCAGTGGGAGCGCTGCTGCAACTCCAGCTTCTGCTCCACCTTGATTCTCCTAACACCTCGTCTGTGTTGCATTAAAACCTTATCCGAGGGAAAAAGAGTTGAAAGTTAGAGGCCAGGGTGGGTTGGCTGAGCGTGGCCTTAGCCAAACACTAGCGCAAGCTTCTCAAAACAGGTCTGTAACTCCTTGGTGCCTCCCCTGCTTTTCACCCCCCCACCCCAACCCTCCAGCTGGGCTGCTGCATTTAATGGGTTTAGAGTTTGATTTAAGTGAATTTGTTGGCTTTTACCTTCACAAGGCCTTGAGCGTCTCTAGCGATCACGCTGACACCCAAGGTACAGCTCTTCCCTTTCTCCAAACCTTTTCCAGTGTTACACAGCCCTGGGACCTACTCCCTGCCTCCAGCATCCTGGCTGGGCCTTTGCTGCCTTTTTCCAACAGCTCATTGGGTTTGCTACAGCATTATTGGTTTGTTTTATTCTTTATTTGCCACCTGCTGCTGAGCACTAAGCTGAGTGTCCCAGCTCCAAGGGTGCCTTTCCAAGAGTCAACACACCAGTCTGGGCATGTGAAAGGCTTTTTGGATTACGCAGGGGCTGGAGCCACTGTGGGCTCCTCCCAGCCCAAGATCCCCAGCAATGGTAGAGCACCAGACTTCACTAACACAGGAATGTGCTCTCAGACTCCTCTTCCAACAAGGAAACTCGCAGAGCTTGATAAAAGACCAGTCAAACAGGACAATAGTTCCACTTGATCAACTAACTCCGGGTTTGGTTGCATGTCATTTATTTCAACTTGTACAGAGAAGCTTGAACAGCTGTGTGGAAAAAACACGTAGTTGTTTGTTGTTTGGTTTTGTTTGTTTTTTTTTTTCTTTCTCCTTAGGTAATATAATTTAAAAGTGGTAAATACACAGTATTTAAACTTGATACACCCGATAAAGTTAAATGCATAATAAAGGGATGAAACACAAGCCTTGGTCATTAAACAAACAGTATAAAAATCAGCAATAGTTCAGGACCTTAGAAAAGAAACAGATCAATCGCCTGATAGGTAAGAGGGGACCACCATGAAAAACTACTCCGACAAAAGGCCTGGTTTCCCCTTAGCACTTTCCTGTGTGCTTTCAGAGCCACGAAGGCTTAGTACCCAGCATTAAGCCTACAGTCAGCACTGGGCTTTGCTTGAAAGGAAGAGAGTTTGGGGAAATCAAGCTACAGCCCAGTTCCAAGGCACAAGCAAAATGTTCACTCTAAGGGCAAAAGCTAGCTTTACTACTAAGGAACAGCAGCTAGGGAACTGAGCAGGTTTATATACACAGTACAGCTTCTCTAACAGGTCATGCACTTAGCTAGATCGTCCTCACCGAGCCACGCGTTCTGCTAATACAACAAGAAAAATCTACACCGGGATTCGTTCAGAAACGTGCATTTGGCTGCAGCCCCATGGCGCCGGCACTGAGACACAATCATTTTGGAGAGCGCCTTAGGGAAGGGCTGAGCTTTAGGCTCCCTACCACCCGTGCTAGCTGTAAGACACTGATCTGTGCCACAGCTGAGGCCCAGTGACTCCGTGGCTGGGCCTCGAGGAACTGGTACAGCTTATTCTGGTTAGAAGCTGCGTTGCACCCCGCAAGCCCGTTGGGTAAATGTAAACTGTCTCACTAGGCACCTGACAAAGCACAAACCGGCGATACGCAGCACACAGCATCGCTACAACTCACCTTTAACAAAAAAAAAAAAAAAAAAAAAAAAAAAAAAGAACAACCCACACTACACACGTTACTACGCACCAGCTAAATAATCAGATCCCCTATTTTTTTTGTAATTTTTTTTTTTTTTTTGGCAGAACAAGTCCATTTACAGGGTTAGAGAACCGAGCTGCCCGCTCGCAGGCATTTCCGCAATGAAAAGTCCCGTTTGGGAAAGGGGGAGCAGGCAGCTGGAGTAGTGCTGGCACCCAAGTTACCTGTTTGGTTTTCCCATAGCTGAAGCTGCAGGGCTTTGGCATAGCCTCGGACTAAAATGGGAGGAAAACAGTGCGTGTCTTATGGCTCCGAACTCCGTAGTACTGCTCCTAAACCACAAACCATCGCCACTGGCTTTGGGGAGAGGCCGGCAGCGCAATGTCTCGCTAAGAAATTGTGATTTTGGGGAGGGAGCATTGCTTCAAGTGATCAAAAGATGGAAGGGACAGTTTGTGTAGGCACCTGCGCACTTGCTAATGCTGTCCTGGCTTTAACAAAGACCTGTCCTAACCAGGAATCACCGGGCCAGGTCTGACTGCAGCGGGGCCAAAGACCTTGGCGCGCTGCTGCTTGCAGTACACAAGCTCAAGGAAGACAAGGGGACAGTCACTTCCTAAAGGCAGGGTTAGCAGGCAGAGAGCTTACCATTAATCAAAATATTTGTGTCTCTCCTAGTGCCTTCTTCCTCAGGGCAAAGAATTAGGCCTTAGCAGTCCCTTATGCTTGGGACATTCGAATCCTCCCCCTCTTTCAGGTATTTTAAACGCTTCATTTAAGGTCAGACAACCACATCAGACTGAGCAGTCAGACCTGTCCCAGCCTGGTCCCACCCTCCATCCACAAAACACCTGTACTTACCGTGAGCCCTTTCCTCAAGCAAACCCTGACTCTTCTCCACCTCACCCACACTCTGCCGTTCTCCAGCTTTGTCCGAGCACAGAGAACTTGGGAAAGCGAGTCTGGATGAGAGAATCTCTCCTGTCACACCACAGATTTTTTTTTTTTTTTACAAGCACCACAAAATAATCAGAGTAATCTGACTGAAGGTGAAAGAGCTCTTCATAAGAAACAATCCATGAATTAGGCATACACTTAATTTACTAACAAGTCTCTGATCCACAGGCATTCACAATTTACTGGTAACAAACTTGCAAAAAATACATAGCATTGGCCCCAGAATCCAGATTAAGAGTTTGGAAAACAAAAGTTTCTTTGAAAATTACTAGCTAATCTAAGTATTTCATTAAGATCTTAAATTCTAAGCAAGCCCTAAGTCTATACTTAAAAAATAGCATAAGTTGTATTATTTTTAAGTGTACTAAACCATGTAATGTACATGGAAGTGAAGGATTTTACCCTGAATTTTATATTTAATAATATATCTACCTAGATCAAGTAAAAGATTTAGAAACAAACTGGTTTTAGTGCTTCATCTGCTGTTCAAAACAAACATTCAGCTAAATACCACCTTTCACTCGTACGTCTGCAGCAAAAATAGTTCAGACTGAACTTAAGCCCTTAAATACCTTTTCCTTTCATACACTGAATACTCAACTTACCAAGTCCTAGTCACACCAAGACCTTAGGAAAGGCATTAATTACCTGAGGAGGTAATTAACCTCACTTTCTGAACATCCCAAAGATGCTGTTTAATACAACCCGGCTCACAAAGGTAGGCGTTCTTTAAAAAGCTGAAAATGTGGGTTTTTGCTTTGTTCCCATGCAGTTAAAAAGATGTCAATTAAAAACAAACCAGAACAACAAGAAATAGATGCAACAACATTTCCGGTAGGTCGCGAACTCTCCCAAGCGCACAGGTGTAGTTGTCGTATGCCACTTGGCAAAAGCTTCACCCTTCCGCGTGCGCCCACTGACTACGTGACGGGCATACAACACCCCTGGGACGCTGGCGTTAGTCCCCGGAAATTATTTGGCATTAAAACCAGGTAAAAGCAGTTCCAAATTTCCAAATGCTTTTTCTTTTTTTTTTTTTTTTTTTTGCAAAGCACTGTTGCTCCTCAACACCGTAGCTCACCTCTTTGCTGTTAGCCAGCGTCTTTCCCACAAGAAGTCGTCGGTCCAAGCGAGATGTTCAATGTTTATGACAAGTAGTCAGATGTCTTATAACATGCTGCTATGTAAGCTCTACATCCAGCATTATACTGAAATAGCGCCATGTCATGCTGTGGTTGGTGATGGCTCTGTTAATGTCGCTCATCCCCAGCTGCAATACTTTATAATGTGCTTCGGACCAAGTTGCTCAACAGAACCATAAAGTCAATATTCACGGAAGAAGCTCCTCCTCTCCCACATTGGGCAAGTCGTTGCATTTCAGATTATCTTCACTGCCTTGTTTTCTGCTTTAAAAGAAAATAAACCAGTTGCTGAGCGACTCAGAAAAAGGCAAAGCAGACAGTGAGATACCAGCATCTGCCCCTTCCCTGCCATGGGACCTTTGGGACCCTGAGCATGTGTTGTCTCCCCCCAGCTCCCCTATAACAGGCTGGAAGTGCCACAAAAAGACACTTTTCAGCCCACTGGAGGGGTAGGATATGCCACGTCACAAAAATCATCCCACAAAGCAGTTCCAGGTCAGACAGGGTGTGTGAACATCCCAATCATGGCCCCACACGAAAGACTCAAAGCCCAATTCTTTGAATTCTCCCCCCGTGCTTGGCAGCAATTTCCAGAGCATCAAGACAAGCTGCAAATGTCTTTTCAGGCCGAGGTGACACTTACGGCAGCAGGTTCCCAGGGGCAGACAGTGACCGCTCCTCCCTCCTGCTCCCCTCGAACGGGTTCCCGAAGGATCGCTTCCGGATCATCGTTTTAACCAAGATCTGCAAGATCAGATTGGAGTTTGTCAGGGACGCTTTCCTTTCCTTCAGGAGCAACAGGAACATTCAATCCTCATGACCAAGTAATTAAGAAAACAAGTGGAAACAAGTCAAAGTTCTCTTTTTTTTTAAAAAAAAAAAAAAAAAAGCAGAAGGAAGCGTGTCTACAAGTCTCCAGCTGCTTAATACAGGGGGGCTGTATCCTTGTCTGAAACCCACGGTGCAACCACCGAGCATGCAGATGGGAGCCACACTAGGTGTGAGAGGCTGGAAAAGAGACCAAAGCCAAGTCTGGGAAGATTTTCTCCCCCCAGAAGTGGGTTTTACTGATTACTGCATCCAGTACCTGCAAATCCCCAGTGTTCCCTACAATTACCTGGCAGAGGAATTCATTGGAAAGGGAGAGGGGAAGGAAGGAACTGGCACCAATTTTGCTTTAATGTTTACCAAAACCAAGATGAAAAATTGGCTGTTTGTCTAGTTTGGGCTGCAAAACACAAAGTTACTCAGCGTCAGCTGCAATCAGAGACTACTGGGTACAGAGCAAGTGTTGGGGTTCCTCCCAGGCATCCCCCAATTTGTTTTGCTGGTGGGAGCAGAGACTGACATGAGCAGCACTGGCCCCTGCTTCGGCATGAGCATCCTGCTCTGGGAAGCCCTGGCTTCAGTTGATATTGTTTCTCGTCCCTCTGTGCCTTATTTATCTGCTCACCACGGTGCTCCAAGAGTCCTTACACACCTGAAACGTGCGTGCCAGCAGGGTCCCGCGGGGGGAGGCATTTTATACAAGAGTCGAAGCCATGTGGATCCTTGGATGCACAAAGGTCAGGCACCAGAGGGTAATTTTGAAGAACAAATGCAAATGGAAAAATACAAGATCTGCCTGGAAGCAGTGTGTTATTTAAGAGGCAAGAGCGGCAGTAAAAGCTCATTTGCCCTGAGCAGTGCTAAGCACACCCGGATCCCAGCACAGAGCAGGATCTACCTGCCTGGAGAGCAGCTCTGCGGAGAGGGACCCGGGGGTCCTGACAACAAGCTCAAAAGGAGTGACCAGCGTGCTGCAGTGGCAAAGAAAGCCGACAGGATTACACCAACAGGGGCATCACTAGCGGAGATAAAGAAGTCATTAGCCCACTCTACTCAGCGCTTGCCAGGCCACACCTGGAATACACTGTTCAGTTTTGGTCCCCGCTATACAAAAAAGCTGTGGACAGACTGGAGAGGGCCCAGAGAAGGGTAACAAAGATGATCAAGGGACTGAGAAGCCATGTGAGGAAAAGCTGAGAGAACTGGGTTTGTCTTGAGAAGAAAAGGCTTCGGGGAGACCTTATCACCATGTTCCACTATTTAAAGGGTGGTTATAAAGAAAACGGAGAGTCCCTTTTTACAAGGAGCCACGTGGAAAAGACAAGGGGTAATGGGTACAAGTTACTCCTGGGGAGATTTTGGTTGGACACAAGAGGAAATTTTTTCACAGTGAGAACAACCAGCCACTGGAATAATCTCCCCAGGAGAGTGGTGGACTCCCCAACATCAGACACTTTTAAGATTCAGCTGGACAGGGTGCTGGGCCATCTTGTCTAGACCGTGCTTTTACCAAGAAAGGTTGGACCAGATGATCTGTGACCAGATGTCACAGGCAAAAGATGATCCTTTTGCCTGTGACTTCTGTAGGCACCAAAGTTCCTTCCAACCTGGGATTCCGTAATGATTTTCAACAGAGCCAGCAGCACTCTCTGCTGCATCGCAAGAAATCACCTCTGAACAGGACAAGGAGGGGAAAAACCCCTCATCAATGGTGATCTCTTTAGAGCAAGATCTGCTTTTTCAGCACAAGCAGTGCACATTTGCATATTAATGTTATTCACGGTTGAAGAGGCTTCTGCAGGGTACCGAAGCGCGCGAGAGAGCTCCAGAAATAAGTCAGATGTGGGCAAAGCCACAAGTTGGAAAAGGGGCTTCAAAAGGAGACCTGTACTTCAAAAAAAATCACAGCCTGGGTGTCTACAGGCAGATAACACCGTGCCAGGGAACAGCGAATAGTTGTTCACTGTTTCTCCCAGCATAAGGGCTATCAGGCACTCGAAGAAATCATTAGGTTCAAAACTCAAACCAAATTTCTCTTTCCACACAGGGAAGGGTTACACTGTGGTTCTCACCACCAGTGGGTTGCAGAGAATAAAAATATGAGCTTGGAAAGAGATGAGATGAATTCACCAAGAATAGCTGCAGGTGGGAGCTGGCACAGACCATGGCCCAGATAAAAATCTCCATCCCGGGAAGCTCCCGCGGCCACTCTGGCCAGGTGGGCAGAGCAGGGCAGGAGCTCCTCATGCCTGGCCAGAACACCCATTTCCAGCTGTGGGCAGGTCCTGGACCAGATGCTGGTTTGCCCTGAGCAAATACAGTGATATTTAGGCAGCCAGCTCAAGCGTGGAGACTGGCAATCGCTGACGAGTCCCTTTGGGACCGCTCTGAAATACTCCCCCGCACTGTGGGGTACAGCCACCTCCAGCGAGATGCTGAGCCCCCATCTTGCAGTGCTTGTTTCTGAGAAAGGGAAGGGGTTTGTTCTAAACCTGCCCAACACTTTTGCCCTTCAGCAGCAACCTCAAGCTCCTCGGGACCGCCCCAGCAGGCAGCGTGGAGCCCGATGTGTGTCCACAGATTATCACCTCCCTGGTACTCACCACAGTGGCCAGGCTGGGGATGTGCTTGACCGAATTCTCCACCTCCTCCTCTGTCACCTCGACGAGGGTGCAGTTCTCATCCTCCGTGGGCAGCAGCTCTGCTCCGTTCTTGGTGACCCAAGGGTGCAACTTCAATGAATAACACAGCCTGTCAGGAACGATTTCCCCTTTTTCGTAACTCAAACAACATAAGCCTGGCAAACGCATCTCCTCTCCCAAGCTACGGCCCCTACGTGCTCCTGAAATACCAGGGAGCAGGGCAGAGATGTGCCATCTCACTGGTGATCTTGTCTCTCCTCAGCACCACCGGGAACGGCTCAGCCCGGAGCAGAAGTGAACCACAGTGCGGGTCGTCTGGAGCCAGCGCTGGCCCCATCTACACAACCAAGCAATAACCTTGGTGACCTACAGCACTGGGCCTCTCAGCGGGTTTTAGGGAAAAAGACCTATTTTCCCTCTCATCTTACAGAAGAGACAATGCCAAGAGGCCGGACTGATTTGTTCCACACTGTATGTATGAGCACTGGTGATGGGGAGACCCACCGAGCCCTAGTCTTGGACCTGGATTAATCCACGACAGAAGGCAGAAACCTCTCTTTCTCCTTGCCCACACACCTGGCGTCTTGGGTGGCTGCAGGAGGAGCACAAAACGGTTCAGCAATTCCCCCGCAATCCTTTCCCCCTACCTTAGTCTCCATTTTCTCAGCTTCTCGCCCCTTCCAGGCTCCTGCAGGGGCAGAGGACCAGAAATCTCCTGCGAAAGGCTGTTGCACAGTACTTTCCTGGTAGCAGAGGAAATACTGTACTCAGGGGATTTCCTTTTGCCTGTGACTTCTGTAGGCACCAAAGGTCCCAAAGCTGAGCAAGTCCCGGAGCAGGGGAAGGAGCTGAGACTTACCTGCCCAGGGGCCCTGGGCACAGGGGGAGGACCTAGCCTGGCACGATCAAACTGACTCCCAAACATAAGCCAAGCAAGGAGAACCCAAGAGAAGTGAAGCCACAGCCAACACCAGGGTGGTTGGGTCAGTACCTTGATCTCTGGAACCGAAATCCTAGATTCAGGATTTTTATCCAACATCCGTGTAATCAAATCCTTCAAGAAGTCTGTAACTTCTGGCCTGGGGAAAGGAGAGGGGAGAGATGAGATGGGGAAGGGGACGATGGGTGCTGCCTCCCTTCTTCATCCCAGTGCCAGCTGCTGGGGGCCTTCCAGGCAAACTGGAGCTGGGCCCCAGCCCTGGCAGGGATGTAGCTCTGGGTACTCACGCACGCAGGTGCCATGAAGCTCTAGCTCTTCCTCCCCAACACCCCCAGGAAAGCAAAATACCCCCTTTTTGGGCAATCTGAAGCACGATCCTGTGTGTAGAGGGCTGGGAGAGCCCGACACCAACTCCACACAGGCTAAAACCCAACAAGCAGCAACTGCAGAGGTTAATTTGTTCCTCCACATGCCTCTGCAGCCTCAATCACTCCTTCAGCAACTGCAAACCAAGAGATGTTGCCTTCATGTTTAATGCAAAGGAAATTTTCCAGGGCTAAGGGCCAAGAGAAAGGCTCAGAGCCTGAGTTCTGTAAAGCTTCTGCAGAGCAGGGCCAGCCCCACCCCGGCAGCACCTGAGAAACGACTTAAATGAGCTTTAGAATAAGGGCTGAGGGTTTGGGGTTTTTTGAGTACTTACTGGTCTGGGAACTCCAGTGTCTGGGTCTTGATTTTATTGTGTAAACTCAGGATCCTTTCATCCATGAAAGGACACTAGCGTGAAGGAAAAAAACAATGTTAAGAACCTCTATTAAGAAGCAGCAGTGGGGTGGCCAGTCGAGCACTGGGATCTTGTAGGGTTTGAAGAAGAGCAAGGAGCCAGCTATAGGAAAATACCAGAATATTTCCTATTATGTCAATGCCTTCTTTTCATTTTGACACAACGAAAATAACATTTGACTAAAAATGACCAAACTACTACAACAGCTTCTTTGCTAAAAAATCTGACAAGGCAAAAAAAAAAAAAAAAAAAAAAAAAAAAAAAAAAGAGAGAAGCACAGTCCTTTTGGATGTTTCCTTGCTGGGTACAGGCAGAGGTTTCCCATTTCCACCCGCACATCCCCATCTCCCCTCAGCAATACCCAGCTGCTCAAACAGGGGTGCAGGATGCAAATCCCATCGCATACCTGGCACGTGGGAGACACACACCAAACCCCCCACCCCTGGCCACCAACAGCACTGAAAAATCCATTTCATTACCTGCCCAAACACAAAGCAGTAGAGTGTGATCCCCATGGCCCAGACATCCAGAGCCTGTGGAGAGGAGAAAGCACAGTTAGATCTGTGACAGACAGCGTGTTCAAGGAAGATTAGTCCAAAAATGCTCAAAATCACTATTAAATACCTTGCCAGAGAAGATTTTCCTGGTTTCCGAGAGCGTCTCTGGGGCCATAAAGGCAGGGGTGCCCACTGTGTTGGTTAAAAGGGCATCAGCTCCCTTGAACTCGTTGCTCACTCCGAAGTCAGCAATCTTGACGTGCCCGTCTTCCCCCACGAGGAGGTTGGAAGGTTTAATATCCCGGTGGATTATCTTTTGATAGTGCACTGCAGCCAAAGGAAAAACAGCAATTTAGCAGCAAAAGGAGCCCCGAAGCCCCTGCATGGCTGTAAAGCCCTTCCACTAACACCACGACCAACCCCAGCTTCAAAAAATCCCTGTGCAGTAGCGTAAGGCACCAGAAACGGCACCGTACACCAGCAGAAAGTCCAGCCCCAGGTGTGTAGAAAACAATTAAATTAAGAAATCCCATCCTTTTTGCTCAGACACTCACAGTATTCAATGCCCTTGATCAGATCCTGGAAGTAGAACCGAGCCTGGTCCTCACTGAGAGGTTTCAGGGTTGGGATTTCCATCACGGGGCTGCAAAGGCAACAGAGAACGGAGCTCGTTCCCCAACAGATGTGACAAAACATGTCCCGGAGGCTTTGCCACCGTCCGGTGACAGCACACAGTGCTGAACACAGGCACATGTGGGGTGTACACACCGTAACTAGGTTGGGGAGATGCTACCCAAACCCGTAAGAGACCCACCACAAACCCCCCATCGCCTCCCCGTCCCACACCTGCCTCAGGCGGTCGAGCTGTGCCACCCGCAAACCCATCCCAAGGTCATGTTTTCCGTCTGGAATTCAATACTCACCCTTGCTTCACCAGTTCAAACACTGAAACGCAAAAGAAAAAGTGGTTACTGATCACTTACAGGTTAGGGCTCCTGCAAGCACAAAAGCAATTATTTTGGTGACAGAAATTACAAAACCAATATGTTTTTTTTTTTTAAAAAAAGAGACGCTACCTTATGCAAGGCACAGCCATTTTGCATGATTCCCTCTCCAGTTAAGGGGATGCTGCCAACTAACTTCTCTGTGCCGCAGCTTCAGCATTATGAAACACCCTCCGCACAGCACCCTGAAACCCTCAGTTTGCTGCAAGCCCACGCCTCCAGCAAACCTCTGCGCTTGGCCATGAAGGCATCGCAGGCTTCTCCACTAGTACAGGCTGAACATAAATGATGGAGAAGAAATGCCTCCTCCAAGCATGTGTATTTACATCAAGCAAACCACTGCAGTCTGCAAGACAGGTTGGGAAGTGGCTCGTTTGTACCGTGGATAATTAACATGTGCCTTGTCCTCCGAGCCAAATAAACCTACTTTCTAGCAGCCTGGTTTCAAAGCTGAGAACGTAAATGCTGGTGCCTCTCATGGCAAAGCATGCCCTGATGTTGAATTAAAGCCTATAAAGTGATATAAAGCACTCCTGTCTCCTTTCTGAACCCAGACCGGTTCCTGTTTGCTCCAACTATTAGGGAGAATTTGCTCCACCAGCACATCCAGGCCATAGCTGCTCCAGAGGAGAGACCCAACCCCACACGCAGCAGCCCCAAAACACGGGGGGAACCCTTCGCCCCATCCTACTAACACCCCGTGAGCACCGCAGGGCAGCGGGCAGTTACCCATGTACAGGTGGTCCTCACTGGGGTCATCCAGGACCTGCCGAAAGAAGCAGAAAGGCAATTAAATGGCACCTTGCAAATTAAACGTTGTGATTTTTTATTTAGCAGCCGTCTCAATTCCGCACCATCGGCACCATCAGCATGGTCTGCCGACCTCTGACAAGGAGTGGGGGGGAGAGGACAGATATTGCTGTACTTCAAGGAAGTAAATATTTTAAAACACAAATGAAGCATCATCTGACTCATGAGCCAAACAAACTCCAGTCTGCACATCCTTAATTCTTGATTTTTAGACTGTTTCATGCCGGCAGTGGGCTGAGGGCAGGGCAGCTGCACTGCAGAACCCGCAGCAATACCAGTTCCTCCCCCAAAACCCATCTGACCACTTGTTTCCTCCAAGGAAACAACATTTTTCTGCATTTCCCTTTCTGAGCAGGGGAAAAAAAAAAAAAAAAACCAAAAAACAAAACCAACCCTTTTGAGAGCAGGGGAATAAAAGACCTTTTAAACCAGTGAAAACACAAGTCTCCCATAGGCAGGACCTGCCACAGCCATCCCAGTCCCTCCGGGGTCTCTCTCCCCCACCCAAGCCGACGTGTAGCCCATCCCCGCAGCATCCAGGCTCCTTCCCGCTCGGGGTGGGTTTTGGGAAGGGACTGGGGGCTGCTCGGTGCTCACCTCCACCAGCTTCACCACGTTGGGGTGGTCCAGCTTTTTCAGGATGGCGATCTCCTGGTAGACCTGTTCGATGGGCCCTTTGGGCTGCAGGCAGCCCTCGGAGGCAGCTTTGGCCCCGCGGGGCGGCGGGCGGCCTGTGGGAAAGGCAAACACGGGGTGTCCGGTTGGGAACAAGCCCCCGGGGTGCCCACATCATCTCCCACCCTAAAGATTTTGAGCCACTTACGGGGGAAGCCTGCCTGTCTCATCAGTTTCTTTTTGGAGAGAACCTTCATTGCCTGCAAGAGGGGAAAAAACATGGGATTTGGGACAAATTAAGGATAAAACGGGGCTGGGAGGATGAGGCCAGCGCAGAGCTGGGCAGGGAATCAGCAGAGGGAATCCATCCCCATCCCACCTGCTCCGCTGTGGGCTCCGGGGCTATGTGCTACTCACATAGTAGGTGTTATCGTCCTCGTTGTAGGCCAGCTTCACCACCCCGTAGGAGCCCTAGAAAGGGGCACAGCCATGGGGGATCAGTTAGGGACAGTCCAAAAAAAAAAACCCACAGCACCAAATTGGGCTCCAGGCACCTCCGCAAACCCGTCCCCACTGGGATCACAGGGCTGGTGGGTGGGTGATGCTGGGAGTAGTGGGGTGTACGGTCTGGCATCGCACCGCCAGCAAAGGAAAGCTTCAAACGCCCCAACTCATGGCAGGGAGGGGGAATGGGGAAAAATAATAATAACTAAATAAATATCTACAATTCAATCGGCACGACCTAGAAGAGATTGGTGTGGCAGCCAGGAGTCAGCCAAGTTGCCGTGGTGAACAGCTGATCTTGCCACCTCACCAGCTGGAAAGCAAAACCGAGCCCAACACCCTCCACCCGCCCCATCCCACCCCAAACCCGGCCAGTATTCACCTTCCCAATCTCATCCTTCAGCTTGTACTGGTTGAGCTGCACACAGTCCTGCAGGGAGAGAGGGGGAGGTCCGACACGAGCCACGAAACCGCTCACATTTGCTCTCCTCCTTTTATATCTCCAGCAAAACTTTCTCTGCAAACTCACACCCCTTTCTGCTCTGCCCAGGCACCCGCTCGGGGCTGAGCAGCTTTGATTCATGAGCCATAAATGCCAGCCGCTCGGCCACGCGTAGGTGTGTTTATAGAGGGCTAATTACAAACGTTAACGGCCGGGCAGGCAACGTTATCTGCTCACGTGGAACGAGAGTGCACGACGGGCTGGCCGTGCTGGGGATCAAGGGCTGGGAGAGCCCTGGGGTTTAACACCGGCAACCCAGCACTGAGTATTTTAATTTTGTAAGGGCAAGGAAGCTGCTTGCTGCCTGTCTTCTGTCAGCACTGCCAAGCTGGGGGCAGGTAGGGCCATTTTGTCTTTAGATCTCAGTAGGTCTTTCACTTTTTTTTTGTTTTGTTTTTAAGGAGAAAAAGAAAATTGCAGTATGCTGCCAGCTCCCCCAAAATGCAGCCATGAGAACTGGCGGCGTCTGCACAAGGTGTGAAACGCAGCAAGCTGCTGGGTCCCACCTCCCCGAGGGCTGTCCCCGAGGTCCAGGAGGGACCAGAGCATCCTGCCCACGCACCTGTGGCCATGCTGCCCGGTTTTATCCCAAAAAAACCCAAGTGAGAAGCAACGCCACGGGGAGGGAAACCGGGAGAATGGGGGCAGGAGAACCACGGGAGAAGCAACGATTCCCCCTCACCTGGAGTCCCGTGATGGACACGCGGTTTGACTCCACTGTCGGCCGCCGCGGCAGCCGCGGGGAGGAGTGCGGGGACGTCACCGGGGAGTAAGGGAGGGACGGGTAGATGAAGCGTTCGTTGGCGCCGTCGCTGTTCCCGGGCGAGCGGGCAGGCTGCGACCGCTCCTGCAGGGAGAGCTTTCGGCCGGAGAGGTGCAGCTTCGCCCTTGGCTCCCGGCCGTCCCCAAACCCCTCGTCGCCGGGCGCGTTCATCTCCTCCTCCTCGCTCGCGCTCCCCGTGGCGTCGTACTCGGTGACCACGATGAGCGAGGCCATGCCGGGGCGGCAGGGGCTCAGCGCCGGGGGGTCCCGCGCTGCCCCGGGTGCTCGGTGGCCGCAGCCTCCATCACGGCAGAGGGGCCGTGGGGCAGGCGAGCTGCCGGGGATGCATGATGGCATGGTGCAACCGATGGCCTCATCCCGGCCACGCTGCAACGGGGAGGGGCACCTGCAAACACAGGGCAGGCTCAGCCAGGCTGCCCTGTTAAGAGGGATTTCCTCCTGCTGGTCATTACTCTACAGATTAATTTATTGATCCCAGAGGGGATGGTAAAGCCAAGGGCAGCGGTGCAGGATGGCACCGGGATGTGCACCCACCCTGCCACGGGGCAGGGCCAGCCTCAGCCCCAAGGCTGCAGCCATCACTCCTTCCCACCCCTTTATCAAAACAACTCCAGGGAATAACAACCCCGTCGTCTCGGCTACGGGAATACCCCAAAAGGAATATTTTACAGGGGCAGGATCCAGCCCTGCACCGTACCAGCATCAATACCACTCAGTTCCCTGCTTTACTGCTCAGTCCCACAGTCAGAGTGGGCGCATTTCTGCCAAACACTCCCCGAATGAAGCAGTTCAGGGGTACAGGGACTTGCTTACCAAGTGTGGGGTGCAGGATCAGCCCCCCCCAGCTCACCGCCTCCTCCCACAGCCCATCATTGCCAGCAATTTCTCTTCCTCGCCCCGGGTTTCCCACAGCCTTCTTGTGCAAAAATCAGGTTCTTGAACCCTGAGATAAATGAGAAAATAAGTTTGTTAGCAACAAAGAATTAAAAGAAAAAGAAACCCAGAAATAATTCAATAATAATGTTAAAAAGGGGAGAAAACAGTGTTAATTCACACACGCTGGGCACCCCGCAGCAGTTGGGGCAGTTCAAGGGTTGTTTGGTTGTAAACCATCGCTCTTCCCTGCCGCAAGGCTGGTGCTGGTTTTAATTTCTAGGTTAACGAGCTGCTGCAGAAGCAAGTGAAAAAAAAAAAAAAAATTAAAAAAAATCCCGAAACAAACAGCCCATAAGCAGGAACAAGGTTTGAGGCGTTTTTCTGCCTGGTTCCCACACCTCAGCGAGGCGGCCGGTTAAAATTAGCTCCGCTCATCTCCATTGAAGTTTCCATGATGTACCCGCAGCACACCCGCTCTGAATCAGCCCTGCAGAAATTACGGGTCAAGTACAGAAATCAAGTCGTCTCCCCCTTCCTCCAGGCTTCACAATAGCCTAATTGCTGTTTTCAACACCAATCTATAAACCGGAGCCTTTTTCTTTTTTTTTTTTTTTCTTTTCCCGAGCGGGATCAGCCCAAAGCTAAAGCCAACCCGGCACCGCTTGCTGCTTCAAGGCGCAGAGAAACGCAGGGGATGGGAGGGCTATAAATAAGCCGATGAACGGCAACAAGGACAAACTATTTCGGAAATGCTGCGTTTCGCGGGGCTGAATCCACTCCCAGCTGGGGCTTTGCTGGTTGAGCCGGGAGCCACCAGCCAAGTCGAACCCGGGCTCCGCGTCTCGGGCATCGTGGCTGCAAAATTCCCGCCCTGGTGCTGCTGACGGTCACGGCAGCATGTTTTAACACGCTCACAAAATGGATTAAAATAAAGAGGCAGCCCCCCCTCACCCCCCGTTCATCCCAAACCCACAGGGATGCATCTCGAGGCCAGTTGCCATTTGCCTGGCTCGCTATGGGCACCCGGCCAGCGGGCACATATAAATAGCCATCCCCACGAGCCGAGGCCGACCCCGAACACCGTGCCCTCTACCCTCACCGGGGACCGGGGCTGCGGCCGCACCAAAAAAGGCAGCTCATCGAGGTGACCCCGGGATGAAGCCACCCCGGGAGCATCGCCAGCCCCAGGGGTGGCACGGCACAGCCGGGCATCCCGTCCTGCCCCCAGAGCATCGCCTGCATCTGAATTTCCAAGGGTTCACACTAAACTTTGCCGGGCTACAGCAAAATTGAGTTATGAAGTCTCCACCACACTTGGGATCTGAGTGTGCCCTGGTCGGCGGGAGTTAATTGGCTTGACCAGGATAAATATATCAAGGCTAATTAATTCAAGCAGGCTTCCCCAGGCTCTGTAAACAGGCTAAAAGTCATCCAAGCACCATCGTAACATCGGCTAGGGTGGAAAATTGGAGGGCGCTTTTTTTCCCCCCTTTGCATGGTTTTGCAAAAATTGCCCTGTGAGATGATAGTTGCCCGAGAAAAGCCCAGAAGTGGGATCCCATTGTTGAACACAGCCACGTGGGACATGGGGTCACCACTAAGGGTAACTCAGCTGGTTCTCCTTAATAAGCACGCAAGGAGGCTGAGGAGGAGGAGAAAGAGGAGGAAGAAGACAACAGCCACAGTCCCAGCCAGAGGGAAAACTCAAATAGCTGGAATGGGGACAATAAACCCAAACAGGGAAATACAGCCTGGGGGCTTTGGCTTCACCAACCTACCCAGGGCCTTGCCCAGGGACAAGCAGCACATCCTGCTGTGAACTCTAGCAGATCCTTATGTAAAAGCGAGCAGCACATGCCCACAAAATCCTCAGGAAATATAACAGCCTGGTGTATAGGAATGATTTATCGGCACGGCTTTTGGCTGCAATCCATATATAACCCATAGCGGCTGCGGCAGGATTATCGAAGTAATCAGTCTCACATCTAATTCAGCAAGGAGAGGGATATTAAAATGAAAAGAGGTCTGTGAAACCCTGGCAGCGGCTCTCCCTCTCGCTCAGCGTCCATGTGGCTTTAGAGGAAATGAACGGGAGTGAAATCGGCCCCTGCGAGGGTGAAGTGATTTTTACAGCCCCCTCCTGCCGCCCCAGCTCCGCTGCCAGCGTGTGGTCCCTGCCTGGTCCCTGTGGGGATGCGGCCACCCCCGGATGGGAACACGCCAACCGATTTTGGGAGGCACAGAGGGTGACACCTTGCAGCCAGCACTGGCTGCGCAGATTTAAACCGGAGTATACGGACGCATCAGCCTGTCCTTCCCTCCCTGGGGCTGTTTCCCTACCCAGGCACAGGGCGGGTGATGGGACGGTGCCCCCGGCTCCTGCCAGCTGCCACGCACTCGCCTTCCCCCTCTACACGCTTCCCTCCGGCAAGGCCAGACACGATGTCAGTGTTGGACCCTCCCAAGGGAATAAGACTTGGTGGCAGCTCCAGCAGCGACACCTCCATCCATCCTTCCTTTGGGGGTCAGCTCATGCACTGCAAAATAAAGCTGTTCATAACAAAATTGAACACAAACCACCTAAACCGAGGTTGATTTCACTCACAGAGGATCCTCCCCCGGCTACCACTGAAGGTCTGCAGTTAAAAGTTAATCAGGGCCAGCACACGGGGCAGTTACGGGCTCTGGCTGGGCAGAGTCCAGTGGCTATTTTGCTTTCCCCGGTCACTGTCAGCAGTGGAAGCAGCAGTGCCAAGAGCGGTGTCATCTGCAGCAACGGGGGCATCGATCACAGTTTCCCTTCCTACAGGCGAGCACAAACCTTGCCAGAAATATATTAGTCACTGTAGTATACAAAGACCATATGCACCCCCGCCTGACTTTTAATGGAAAGAAATCTCTCAGCAGCATCTCTAGAAGTCAGAGGACACTCAAAATAATGAGATACTGGAAACAGGCACCCGGCCCTCATCTACACCAGGTCCCTGTGACTGTCCAGCGAAGGTTTTATCATCCTTGGGGCAAATGGAAGAGCCTCCTGTGCTGCCTGGCCCAGCCAACACGGGGTGAAAAGAATCAGGGAAAGAACGTAAAGCTGGGCTGGTGGCATTGTAACGGCACGAAACCCAATGGCAAGTTTCAAGTCTTCACCAAGATTTTTTTATAATCTTGATGATACCGCCAAATACTGCTTAAACAATATATAGTGAGCATCCCATAACAGAGGATAAGATCTGGAGATGGCGTTGAGCATGGGCCGGGATGAGCTCAGGGTATCACCATCACCTTGTCCAGCGCTGCTGAGCGGCTCCCGGCTCTCCTGGAAACAACAGCTCCAGCCCACAATGCCCACGAGAGTGGAACCAAGAACGGCTTTGCCCTTTGTGAACACCACTGAGAAGACATTAGGGCTGAGTTGAAAGCGAATCCTCCTCCAAATCACCTCCCCAGTCTGATAACATTCCGCCTTCCCCAGAACGGGGCTGGTCAAGCAGACACCCCTCACAGAGCTCTCAGGGACGGGCTCTTGGGTTTTGTTGGCTGTTTTTCCCAAAACAAGAGGGGCCAGGAGAGGGATGGGGCTCCTTCTCCCGGGAGAGGGGCTGCCTCTCCACCTGGGGGCCACGAAGGCAGCTCCAGCGCCCACAGCCACCGCATTCCCCCTCCCCAGCACGGTTCCCCCTGGCCCTGAGGACAACCTGGTCCCATCCCCAGGGATGGTTTCCTGCTCCTGCAGCACGGCAGAGGCAGGCGGGCAGCCCCCGGCTCCATCCCGCCGCCGCTCTCGGTCTTCACCGTCACCTTGGCGGTCCTGATGCTCCGCGCCCCACGCGCGGCCGCAGGGCTGCAGCCACCCCCGAACCAGCTCGGCCACTCGCAGCAACCCGACCCACGGCTTCTCCTAAGGAGACCCGGCCCCTGCACACAGTCACC